TTGGTGATAGCTTTTCGTTACTTCTGGAACAAAGGGAATATTAAGGTGTCGGTGAAGGGTGGGTTTGATACATAATAAGAAGGGTTAACAATTTTCTTCTGATTTTCGATTGGCACCTTTGGATGTGTTAAGAGTTGCTTGGCCGACGCCCAGAGTCCACATAGGTATACATTGATTTTTGTAAGTATGTGTAAGTTTGGATCGTATGTCGCGTAGTGACGTCTGTTACAAACTGTAGACATATTTGAGATTGTTTTGTAATAAACACTGAGAGGCAATTTTTTAAATTTATCTCTTAGATAATCTTCAATTCATTGATTATCTTATTTGGTCCGTTTTAAAAAATAAGAGGTAAATAAAACACAGATAAAAACTCCCAATTGTGTTTATAATATTTTGTAAATAAATCTTCGAATAGACAGTCTCTTCTTTGTTGGTTTATCTATAAAGCTTTTTTCTAACGTTCCGGTGTTTTGAGTTTTTTTAAAGTTGTACTATTTTTAAGTTTCAAATTTGTTTGAGTGATGATTGTGAGAGATGCAGATTCGGCAAGAATCATGGTATTGTTGGAAGGTGGAAGTCAAGCGAATGTGGCCTAGGTCGCTACTAAGATTCCGGAGGTTACTCAAAAAAGCATGACTCAGGTCGACATCGTGTCACATCTCAGAGACATGATCGTTTTATTGTTTCGATGTCAGTTTATGCACTGCCGATTTTCAAAAGCTGGATTACCTGCGAGAAGGCCTGCCATTGGTTCGGAACTTCTGGCAAGCCACAGATCGGTTTCGCAAGAAATCACATCAATTGGTCTGAGCAATATTGAACTAAAATCTTGTTTTCGGATGAGCCAAGGTTTTGTTTGAAGTCTTCTAGCGGCCAATAGAATGTTTGGAAATAAACCAGAGAGCGATATATAACATTTTCTCCCCGGGGAAGCTATGGAGGTGGTTACGTTATGACCTGGGCAGGTATTTCTATGGAAGGTACAAACATGATCATAATCGAGGGTTTTCTAATAACTGCGCATACAGTGAAGAACTGTTATCAGAAGAAATTGTTCTTTATACGCCACAAGGCCAGAGGAGGATCTGCAAGACCATACATACGCCCCAAACCTATACTTGGGATGACAAAAACAAATATAGAATCCTCCATCGCAGAATGGATCCAAACAAAACAAAAGGAGAAGTGGATAAACTCTACCGGTGCTAGTAACAGTAAACATGATGAAACAACTTTCACCAAGACTGGCAAAATCACTGCTGCAACTGGAGAGGGCTAGACTCAGAGGAGTGGAAGGACCAGTAACCGGTCACTGGCATCTAAGAAAACATCTACACAACATGGACATATACAACGTTGATCCCATTTGCAGATTATGTAATGAGGAGGAGGAAACAGCAACCCATATCATCTTCGAATGCGAAGCAACAGCTCAATGAAGATTTAACCTAGCGAACGGAAAAAACTTAGGGAATCAAATTGCAGCAACGACAGTCAATGACCTGATACTTTTACGGAGAAGGATAGAGTGTATTGCACTTAACTATAGAACTAGTAAGGTAAAATAAGCATGAAGGCAGCAGTGCCTGGGGAGCGCAAACCCCGCTTCTTAGTATCCTTTTTACCATACCATACATACCATTACACGCCACTAACCGGCGACGGTTTTATATTTATGCTAGACCTCGCACAGCTTGGTTACTGCATGAAACGGGCTTCAATTTATTGTTTGCAGTGGCCATATGTACTCCCGACTTAAATCATATCTAACATCTTTGGGACTAGTTGTCAAATAGAGTAAAAAATTGCCCAATAATGCCAAAGAATTTCCAGGAATTAAGAATGGTAGTGGAGTATGAAAATATAAGTCAGCAGTATATTCAAAACATCATAAGATCGATGCCACGTTGAATGCAAAGGTGGTCAACGCAAGAGGAGGAAATCCGACGTTCTGAACTGGGCATTTTCTTCTTTGTTTCCATAGCAACATTTCTAGTAAATCCATTAGGTTTCGTGGTTCCATTGACCAAATGGATTCTTTTCAACTAATTAATCTTTAAGGTATTGGTTGAGATAAAAAATGTCAGTGCCACGAGCGGGATTCGAACCCACGACCTTCGGGTAGATACGCCGCTGCTCTATCACTTGAGCAATCGTGATATTCTCAAACAATTACTTAAAGATTAATTAACTGAAAAGAATTTATGTGGACAATCGGACCACAAAACCTAATGGATTTAATAAGCAAAATGAAGTATACTTCACTAAAGCTTTTCGTGGCCATTTTATTTGCCGCCGGGAATCAAATAGATTAGACGACATTTGAAAAACGGCAAAAAGGAGGGAAAATTCAAAAGGTGGGGTTGAGATGGGAAGTTAGTGTCCGAATGGGTCGAAGTCCCGATAGCTCAAGTGGTAGATGAGCGGCATATCTAGCCGAAGGTCATGGGTTCGAATCCCGCTCATGACACTGACTTTTTTATCTCAACCAATACCTTACTTCAAGATTAATTAATTGAAAAGAATTTTTGGTAAAATTGTTTTACCCAGTTTAATTCTTTTATTTAGCTATATGTCATATTTTTCTTTAAAAATATCAAATAAACCAAAAAATTATAACGAAAGCCAGTATTTACGAAAAAAAGGAGGGTGTCCACATTTTTGCCTCTCAGTGTTGTTATATTGATATTGTGTTGTTATACTGGACAAACATACATTTATAATTTATAATTAATATAGGACCAAATGATGACCTTAAGAAACTTGGCTGATAACAATTGAATTTTCGTTTTCATCCAGACCGAGATCCAGATTATTATTATAGGGTAAAAACGTAGTTGATACATCGTTTTTCAAATTCCCTCTTGAGCCTATCTCGCATTTTTGGTCTGTCAGCTTCATTACGGAAGTTGATAGGATTCTTATCAGTTATCACTATTAATGTGGTTAAAACTTCCCAACATTATGCTTTCCTGTTAGTTTTAACATCGGTTTAGCTTCTTGAAGTGTTTTATCTGAAATATAAAAATGAAGGCTTGCCTTGTTCCATCATTAAATGGAAAATACAAAATAATAACGTTGAAGCATTTCATTTACATGTTGGAGATGTTACAGCGTTACATTAAAAAATGTATAGAGGAAAAAAGTGATTAAGAGCGATGAAAGGACGGGTGAATTTAACTAAAAAATGAAAAATCGATAGGTTATTCGATGTTCAGCTAAATTTATCGACGTTAGAAAAATCCGGCCTCCTTTTCAAGTTAAAAACTATCCACTGTCACATCTCAGACTACTGGTTTAAAGTTTTGATTCTTCACGCATAATGCCAATCAAAGCTGATGTCCCCCAACTAAGACCGATCCTTCACAAAATCTACACTGCCTATATTACAAGCTACGTGGATCAGCGCAATACTGTCTACACATTACTCTACCCAAGCAACAAAGGCAATAAAAAACACCTAGGCCTCATTATCGACTATGCACTTCATCAAAACACTAAGTACTACTGTATAAATTTACTGTATACAATCAAACTCATTAGGAAAGTACACTTCGGTCTTTCAAGCAGTGCCGAGCCATCAATTGATTGAGCCATCAATGCTTGTGCCTGGAAAATCTTAAAATAGGTTACACTGACAAAAAAATCCTCATTGATGCAAACCCAAGCAGCCTATTAAAGCATTAGCATGTAAAAGAATTACATCAAAATTAATCAGTGAATGCATCGAAAATCTCCAAAACCTGGGAAAACACAACAACCTGATGATATCTTGGGTGCCAGGGCACAGGGGAATTTTGGGTAATGAGAAAGCAGATATTCTGGCCAGAGGAGTATCTGCAAGACTATACAAAGGCCCTAAACCTATACTTGGGCTAACAAAGACAAATATAGAATCCTCCATCGCAGAATGGATCCAAACAAAACAAAAGGAGAAGAGGATAAACTCTAGCAGTGCTAGACATAGTAAACTTATGGTGCAACAACCCTCACCCAAGACTGGCAAAAGCATTGCTGCAATTGGAGAGGGCCAAACTCAGAGGAGTAGTAGGCCTACTAACCGGTCACTGGCATCTGAGAAAACATCTACACAACATGGGTATATACAACTAGATCCCATCTGCAGGTTATGTAATGAGAAGGAAGAAGCCGCCACTCAATTCATCTTCGAATGTAAAGCAACAGCTCAATGGAGATGCAACCTAACATACGAAAAAACTTAGAGAATGAAATTGTAGCAGCGACAGTCAATGACCTGATACTTCTAAGGAGAAGGATCGAGTCTGTTGCACTGAACTAAGGAACTAGGAAGGTACAATAAGCCAGAAGGCTGCAGTGCTTTGGGAGCTCAAACCCCGCTTCCTACTATCCTTATGACCATACCATACCATCGTGAAAGAACATGGTAATGCCATGCAACCTGTACTGCATTACGTGGCACATATATACTATGCTAAAAATACAAGAACACAACAAAATGCGTGGATTAAAACGGGTTTTTTTTGGCGGATTTTACAATAACTATAAACAACAAGCTAACCGTTTACAAAACATCCTTCAGACAGGTTTGACTTACGTAGTCGAGCTGTGGGCCTCGGCCAAACCTTACAAAATCCAATCAGATCATTTCCATCCAAAGTGCTTGGCCATATAACATATCTGGAGGATCTTATCGAACACATTTTCACTTCAAGCGATCCAACTAAGATCTTTTTTCAATGTCCCACCAGGATCCACGAAGTCTAAACCCGCAATGATCTTTTGACCTCCTACACGAACCTTATCCTAGTTTTAACTAAATAATTAAAAGTTGCAGCACTGGCTCTTCTTCCGTCAGATTTGACTATTTAGGTGTAATTAGAATATTGAGAAATGCAAACAACTGATAGTCCGAAACAGCGAGAATTGACCATAATCTCATCAGCAGGTTTTTTTTTAAGCAATATAATATTTTATTATTAAAGATTCATATGTTAAAGAGGTTAATGTAAACTCACGTAGCGTTAAGTACATGATGTACTTGACGAATCGACGTGGATGGGTGTCAAGTATGCCGCCTCTCGTCGCCAATAGGGACAAGGATCCGTCGAGTACGCAGAGCATACCGAGGACGCCGACGTAGGAAACGCATATCAGCCAAAGCCAATACGCGCATGGGACTCCGTTTTTCAAGTCCCCGACAATTAGCAGCATCACCAAAACCACCAGCCTGGAACAAAAAAGAATAAAGTTGATTGTAACTGAAATCTTTAATATGTAAAAATATATAAAAATAAATCGTTATTTTTTTAAATGCTTCCGCTTAAAGTAATGAGATAAGTTGTGTCCCGTTTGCGTGCACGCCATGCGACGTTAATTATTCCCAAAAGATTCTTTTTTACCGGTTATAAATATGCCAGCGATATTTAAACGACCCATGGTACAATAAATCAGCAGAAAATCATTAACAAGTTGTAGTGAATGCAGTTTCACATTTACAGAAACTTGGGAATGGTGGTATACCATAGACGTTAAGAAAGACCATGCTGGCGATGCCAAAATAATCTAAAAATAATCCGAAGCCCGAGTAATTTTCAAGTTTTAAATTTCACATTATAAATCCACAAAAAAAGCGGCATAACTCAACAAAAGAAAATTTTACAGGAGAGACAGATGGAAGTGTACATTTTTTGACATACGTATTAATTACACGCCATTATCCACAAGCCGTTGGCAATAAAAACTGTCATGATCAGTCAATATTGTCTTTCGTTTATCCAAGACATCAGCGAAAACACAAAACTTTAAAAATCCAGCTGTATTACCTCAAAAAACAACCCTTTTTTGAGTTGTGACACTTTTCACCAATTTAAGTTAGTATGTTCGCTCTAAGGATAATGATTGGGCAATGAATGACCGTAAGGTAATTAATTTTGTTTGTAATGGTAACAGACAACATACAAAACTGACAAACGAGCATAAATATCCATGAAGTAACTTTTACTAAGATTATTTTTGACCCAAATGTGCTCTCCTCCTGGAGTGAGGGCTAATTAGTAATTATTAAGATAAAGGTTGTTTTGATCATTAAAAATAATGTAATTAAAACGTTTAAAAAAATCATTGAAACTGTAACATTATGTAAAAGCTAATAGACAGCATTGTTAAAAAATTATGAAAAAACAATATTATAATTAAGATCTTTCAATTAATTAAGGTTTTTAGTTGAGATAAAAAAGTAAGTGTCAAGAGCGGGATTCGAATTCAAAAGGTGGGGTTGAGATGGGAAGTTAGTGTCCGAGTGGATCGAGGTCCCGATAACTCAAGTGGTAGAGCAGCGGCTATCTAGCCGAAGATCGTGGGTTCGAATCCCGCTCGTGACACTTACTTTTCTATCTCAAATAAAAACCTTAATTGAAAGATATTAATTGGTCAAGCGGACTACGAAAACTGGTGAATTATAATTAAGAATGTATAAAGTAAATAATAAAAATAAAAGAAATGAACCTAAAATAATTAAACGAACACTTTAGATCAACATATGATCTTGAAGAAAAAAGCAAATTCTGGAATTACTGCCAAGCTTTTGACCAATTTATAGGTCATCATCAGAGCCTAATTAATTTAACATTATGACAAACAATTGTTAAATCAATTGTAAAACTATGTTGTTTTTTTTAAGTATACATTTATGCTTGTTTGTTAGGTGTGTTAATATCACAAAGAAATTAATACTCTCACAGTCATTCTTTGACCACCATTATCGTTAGGGAAAATAAACTACCTTAAATTACCGAGAGCCAATATTTGCAAGAAATATAAGTTCATCTCAGGGCCTAATTTCATATTAGGAAAAACTTATTCATACTATTGATTTAACAATTGGTTTTCAAAATGTGAAATTTTTATAGGCTCTGATGATGACCTTTAAATAGGTCGAAAGCTTTAAAGTAACACTGAACTTGCTTTTTTCTTCAAAACTTCTAACATTGAAAACTAAAACAATTCTAAAATTAGTGCTATTTTACTCTTATTACTGTTGCAGTAAATTTTGTTAAGATTATTTTTGACCCAAATGTGCTCTCCTTCTGGAGTCAGGGTTAATTAATTATTTAAAAAACAAACTTAATTCTTAAAATAAAGGTTTGTATTGATTATTAAAAATATTGTAATGAAAACATTAAAAAATTATTGAAACCACAAAATAATGTAAATGTAAAAAGACAACATTGTTAAAAAATTATGGAAAAGCTATATTATAATTAAGAATGTTATTAAAATAAAAGAAGTTAAACTGAAATAATTCACGAACACTCTAGATCAATGAAGATCTTGAAGAAAAAAAAAGCAAATTCAGTTGTTACTGCCTAGCTTTCGACTTATTTTAAGGTCGTCATCAGGGCCTAAGTTCACATCACGAAAACTTATTCGTACACAACTATGTTTTTTTAAAATATACAGTGACTCACATATTTGTTCACATCAGTAAACAATTTTCTATTATCTCTAGTTTGCAATCCCGTATTTTTTAATCCAGACAACAGCAATAGGATTGAGTTCGTTGTACTGTTGGTAAACAGACATTCACCCTTATAATCTTTATTTATGTTTATACCTTTGAATTGAGCCAGTTTATTACAAGTCTTCAGATGAACAGTTTTGTGACTCGGGTTACTTCATTGCAAATTTCGCAAAAACCATTCAATAATTCGTCTCAAATTTGTTATCAGGTATCATCAATTTAGTTATTTTTCTTACATATTGAAAATATTTCCTTTCATTAATGGTTATGATTTATCCGTTTAATTACAGTATGAAGCTATTTTCAACATTTTTGAAATATCAAATAATAAAAACTCTACAAGAAGGACTTCCTTATCGTGAAATTTCGAAAAAAATATAAATTGTTATTATTGGGATAATGACAAAACCTAAAAGATTTTCCGGAATTTACGATAGTGGTTTTAAAAATAAGAGGAGTGGTCATAAAACAAAATTTTCCGAAGCCAAAAGGCGTATCTACGACCCAAATGTGCTCTCCTCCTGGAGTCAGGGCTAATTAGTTATTTAAAATACGGAATTAATTATTATAATAAAGGTTTATTGATTATTAAAAATATTGTAATGAAAACATTAAAAAATTATTGAAACCACAAATTAATGTAAATGTAAAAAGACAACAGTGTTAAAAAATTATGGAAAAACTATATTATAATTAAGAATATTATTAAAATAAAAGAAATTAAACTGAAATAATTCTCGAACACTCTAGATCAATGTTGAAGAAAAAAAGCAAATTCAGTTGTTACTGCCAAGCTTTCGACTTATTTTAATGTCATCATCAGGGCCTAATTTCACATTACGAAAAACTTATTCGTACAATTGATTTAGCAATTGTTTTTCATAATGTGAAATTAAGATAAGCCCTGATGATGATTTTTAAATAGGTAGAAACCTTGAAAGTAACACTTAACTTGCTTTTTTTCTGCAAGGCCATACCTAGAGTGTATATGAGTGAAAAAGTGGTCGATACTTCTAACATTGAAAACTAAAATAATTCTAAAATTAGTAACATTTTGCTCTTACAATGAAGAGAAAAAACCCTGTTAGGTTCAATAATTCAGTATTTACAATGATTATTTGGAGATCGTGAGGTGCGGTCTGGTATGACGTAGGTTTTAGAAAAACATTTTCTTTATCGTGCCAACGTTTCGATCTTTATTCAGATCATCTTCAGGGCTCAAAGTGTTTATTTTCCGGGTGATTCTTGTGAGTCGTGTTGAGAGTGGTTATCGGTCACTAAACATCACACAGTATTTACAATATTTCGATTTTCTGTATCTTTTGGACCTGCAACATTAAAACTGAACTTTCATGCTTTTCGGATTTGTAAGTCAAATTGAAGAGCCAGAATTATCAGTATAACAGGTCATACTTTTCTTCTCGTTATAGGAAAGTAACGAGAAGATCCTATATGCATAGCACTTTGCCCTAAAGTAATTACCAAAGAGGTGAAATTTGAAAACTGACGGTCTTCATTACCATTGATGGCAGTTCCGTTCCTGTTGGTTGTTAACAAATTTAGAATCAGTTCGTTCACGTGATGTAAATGCCATTTTTACAGATATTTCACACACCGATGCTTTAAAGCTCGACATCGAACTAAGATATTCCACTTTTCGTAAATGGTGACAGTTCCAGCAAATTAAAAAATGCTACATTGTGCTGCCTAGGAAGTCCACCTCCAGTCGTGTCATTTTTCCTGGAGCACCACACACCTGAATACTTATAAAAAAACTAAATAATTGGTTTGTATAATTTTTCGACTTGTGACACTTTTCTTGTGGGTGTATGATATTGTTACCTCCTTTTATTATAAAATTAATGCTGCTTGGGGTTAAAATAAAGACGACGACTTTCCTACTGTAGGGCCGAAGAAGAAGGTTCTACGGAAAAAACCTCGAAACCTTCCCTTCTATCTACAAGGGTTGATTCAGTAATCTGAGTTCATTAAATTTTGATTTACCTCTTTTTTTCTTGTGCTAGAAATACTTTAATTATTATATTTTTTAACTTTTAATTATCCATCTTTGGGTCCTTCCTCGTTTTATTCTTATAATTTTTAGTTGTTAAATTTTGGGCGGTAAGAATATGTTCTTACGATTTTAACATTTATCGAATGTGTAGTGTTTAGTAATCGTCAGTTAATGATTATTTGGAGATGCGGTCTGGTGTGACGTAGGTTTTAGAAAAACATTTTTTTTATCTAACGTTTCGATCTTTATTGAGATCATCATCAGGGCTCAAAGTGTGTGTTTTTTGTGTCGATGAGTCATTCTTGTCTGTAGTGTTGAGTCCCCATACGACACATACGAATGACACATTTAAACAGAAAACAAACACTTTGATCCCTGAAGATGATCTCAATAAAGCTCGAAACGTTGGCACGATAAAGAAAATGTTTTTCTAAAACCTACGTCACACCAGACCGCATCTCGCGATTTCCAAATAATCGTTTTTGCGAATATTGGATATTAACATTTTCCGGGGCTATGCTGATTTTGACTACATGTGTATTTAAAACGGGCCGATCCGAGTGTGCAGAATAATGGTCGTAGAAAGTTTGAAATTGTAAATTTACATTGTTTTCTAATATTTATTCACATGGTTCGAACAGTCCTGGAAAAACAACCCGTTGTGCTCACTTAATCCCAGCTTTCTAGTTTACGC